AAATCCCTCTAAAATATTTGAATAAAATAAAGGGGAAACGGATATACAATTCTGGGAAATCGATCAAAAAAAAGAGGAAACTCCTCAAAATTTGAAGAAATCGCGGAAATGCCTCAAAAAAACCGGTTTTTGAGGGGTTTCCGCGTATTTTTGATCCGTTTCCGTGTTGAGCCGTTTCCGTGTTGAGTCGTTTCCATGTCACCAAGAAATTTTACACTTGAAAACCAACACTCGAAACACGACACTTGAAAACCAACACTTGAAAACCAACACTTGAAACACAACACTTGAAACACAACACTTGAAACACGACACTTGAAAACCAACACTTGAAACACAACACTTGAAACCCAACACTTGAAACCAACACTTGAAACCAACACTTGAAACCAACACTTGAAACCCACACTTGAAAACCAACACTTGAAAACCAACACTTGAAACCCAACACTTGAAAACCAACACTTGAAACACAACACTTGAAAACCAACACTTAAAACCAACCACACAACAAACCTTACAAAGAAAAAGGACGAAGAGAAAGTGGGGGTTCATATAGATGCACTGTTACGGCCCCCCTGGATCCGGAACTGTTTCTCGGTTGAGCAGATCTACTTCTGAGCGTTCCTAAATTGAAAAAAATACATTGACGAACATCCAAAGCTTAAAGTTTTTATGACATTTGTTTTTTTTGATTTGAATTCTCATTTTCTTTTTCCTTCTTTTTCCCAGTGAAATTTTCAAAACTGATTAAAATAAACGAGACATCTTTAACTCAAATAAGCTTTTGGTTTCTTTGCCCTCGAGACAACTTTTAATTTTATGGCTCTTTTTAGCAGAGATTTAGAGTTGTAAAATGCATGAGGCCTCTTAATTTACCTGGCAGTAAGGGACTCCCGGGAACCTCTGAGGCTGCTCTTCCGGGCCAAGGCCAACTCAGCGGCAAGAGACATCGCTCCGGCAGGCTTCTCACTCCTCATCGCCAGGGTAGGCAGGGGCAGAGCGTAGTCCATGACGGAGCTACTCACCCTCACCCCCTGGCCAGACTGAGAAACCTTAGTAGAGGCCCTAGGCGGAGCAGGAGGAGGCATCAAGGAACCGTTTCCAACTGAGCTCGGAGCAGGCGGAGCTGGAGGAGGAACCCTTGAAATGTCTCCAACTGAGCTCGGAGCAGGCGGAGCTGGAGGAGGAACCTTTGAACTGTCTCCAACTGAGCTCGGAGCAGGCGGAGCTGGAGGAGGCATACTAACGGAGCTCACAGCAGAGAAGGACTGCATCCGTATTACCTCTCCTCGGTCAAACCCCTCACCTCGAGTCGAGGTTGGCTGTGAGGTCACCACGGAGTTGTAAGTAGGGAGACTTCCGGCAGAACTACGACGAGGGCAGGACAGAGTCCACCCATCATCCACGTCATCAAACCTGGCGTGTCCGCCCTGAATATTTATCAGTTATTCAACAATGTTTGATTAATTAATAGGTCGGATACAAAGGTAACTAGAATGAACGTTTTAAGTGCTCTAAACTTTACACCAAGGATATTAAAAAACTCTATTTAGAGTTGAAAAAAACTAGTTGATTAATTAATTAGTCAGACAGGAAGTGAAACAAGTGAATCTTATAAATGTTAAACAAATTGATTAATTAATCAGAAATAAAGGTGAAAGAGTGAACAGCTAGGAAAATCTACCTGATCGGGCTCGAACCAGTAGTCTCCGTTGCGTTCTCCCAGAAAAAACCTCCGGAGAACTGCTGTTGCCGCGTCGACAGGATGGGTAACGACCCGGGGGACACAGCAGAGACTCAGACCCTTAACCATCCGGTACAGGGCGAGGAAGAGACACAGGATGACCCCCAGAACGCCGATCACAGCAGCAGACAACATGAGGTTATACATCAGGATCTCCTGGTCCTCCTCATCCAGGACATCAGTAGCCACACCCAGCTTCTCCAGTACAAGCCCGAAGAGCTTGACACCCAGATTCTGCTTTCCGTGAGCGACAGGACCCTCCAACCAATCTTAAGGAATAATTTGTTAATTATGAAGACGTATTTAGAGAAATTCAGGGCAACTTTCGAATCTTAAAGAAAAAGAAATTTGCTCAGATTCACAGCTCTTTCTCTGCATTTTCACTAATTCAATTACAATTAACTTTAAATGATTTCCTTAAAAGCTGTTAAATATATTATTTTCTCGAGATACTTTGAAATAATTATTAGTTTTAACATTCCAATCATTATACAAATTAATCTCTGAAAATAAAAATGAAGAAGAACTGAAATTGAATAAAATCGAATTCTTACCTCCATACCCGGTATTCTCCGGATCCATCACAGGCACAACATTCATCACATTCTCCGTAGAGGTGGAGAACCCTCCGACAGGATGCACACCAATAATCATAGCGGAAAATAAAGAGAGAAGACAGAAAAACTTAGATGTTGATGGGAAGGAAGAAGAAACGAAAGTGCCGGGCAAACGTGTTGGAAAACGTTTGTCGGCCCCTGGAAACGGAAAGAGTATCAAAAAGTGCGTGGGCGCTACCAGCGCCCTCCGTGAAAAGACATTCAGGGTTTCCGACATTTTTCTTAAAAATCTTTTTTCTTCTAAATATTTATTTCTTTTGTTATATTCTCTTAAATGAAAATTTTGGAATTTTTTTTTTCTGATTTTTTAAATAGAAAATTTCGAAAGGTTCTCAGCAACCAGGGTTTCCATTTCCAGTCAAGCCAGGGCTTCTGTAGATTATTTTTGGAAGAAGAAAAAAACTACAAGTCTCTTTTTTAACAAAATTCAGAAAAAATTATCTTAAATTTTTATTTATTTTCTTCATGATTTATTGGAACTATAATGTTCTTTCTGCAGATTTTTTCCTTGATTTTGAATCGACTAAGATCATCCACGTTTTTTTTGATTCGGGAGGTTTTGTCGGAATGAGTGTGAGCACTGAGACTAAAGGTTGACTATTTTTGAGTTTTGACTTAGAAATTGAGCGCCTATCAATGCCAGGACAGTTTTAAATGTCGTCTTCGACGAAAATACTTGAAATAAGGTTCTTAGGTCAAAAAATGTCTTTTAGAGCTCCAATTCAGTCTGTCATCTATCCTTCTGACATCTCTCTATCCTTGATCTGTCAATGTTTAGAAATCAGCCCCGGAAATTATCTGAATAAGAAGGACAAAGGGTGATACAGTATGAATTTATTAACATTTTCTCTTTTTTCTAGGTTGTACAGGGATATTATATCTTCACAAAGAAACATCAAAATCTTTAAACTAGGAATATTAATCCCTTTTTACAATTCTTTTTTCTATTCTGGAGAATCGACTTAGAAGGAGAAAGTACATTTTCAGAGAGATTGAAGAGAAATAATAAAGAATTTAAAAATGAATTGGAATGGTTTGATTGTATGTTGATATATTGCCTAAGAGATACTGCCTTTTTTCTTATTTTAGAATTGGTTGGAGATGGATCAAAATTTCACCCCTGATTCATATGGTGAGATTGTGCTGGCAAGAGCCTATTGGATAAAAAAGCCAGACTCAGGCAGTGGTTTGAACTCGGCCTGGATTCAGCCTGGAAGGAGTCAGTCACGGTTTGCCTGCCCCTCCGCTGCCAAGTGTTCCACGCCCTACACCCCCTTGCCAAGCACATTCTCCATCAAGCCTAAAATAGAAAAACCTTTACTTTTATTTACTATTAATAAATATTCGTGAAAAAATGATGATAGTTTGTCTTTTGGTTAAACCATTATTTTTTATATTGAACCGCGAGAATAACAGTTATTTTCTCTAAAACAAAGCTTTGCGAGAAGATTGCGACTGAAAAGATATTTTTTCTGTAAACAATATTATTCTTAAATACCTGCAACATTTGCAACACTGTGGTTTATAGAGTCGTATTGAAGGTTATCCCTAAACAACTTGTATACATATTTCATTCATACCTTTTCTATTAATTAAATCAAAGTTACCTAATGTTTATCATTTCATCATGAAATTTAACAAACATTTCTTTTGCCTCATGATCCAGAGTGTACACGCATTCACACCTATTTTTAAAAATTATATTATCTAATTGGATTCTGTTCACTAAGATATAAAAACATACTTATTCAAATATTGTCTATAAAAATTTAAATTATTGGATATTATTAACTCAAAATTAATAATTTCGAATTTACCTATGACTGTCATATAATGCTCTAAACAAGTTTTTGAAGTCAATATTATCACATTCTCATCAACAGGACAGTTTTTTGCCTCGTAAGTTGAAACTCCTAAGGGCACTGAACACCAAAGAAACCTTAACAAACATTTTGTATGTAATAATTTTTAAAATTTTATCAATAATAATATTTTATTCAGTCTAATTAATAAAAGTAATACCTATTAAAGAATCCAATTTCTTCTCCCACTTTGATATTTTGTAATATTGTGCTGGGCTAAAAAAAAATCATTTAAATACTAAGCAAAATTTCCCTTATAATATTAATAATACTGAGGCGTCTTGCCTGATTTTGACTATATTTACGGCTAAAAAAAGCTATGGGTTTCTTTCTTTTCGTGATCTTTTCTTCTTGATAAAGTACGCTACCTCCCGCCCAGCGAGAACTGTCACAGTATAGGTATAAAGGTTCTGTCGTGTCTATGTAATTTAGTTTTCAGTCTGCTGTCACTTTACTTTTTAACGAGTTAAATGCATGTGTTTGTTCGGGTCCCCAGTTGAATTCGGTTTTTTTATTTAAAAGTTTCGTTAGGGGCAAAAGATGAGATTGCAGATTGGGGATAAATTTAGATATATATGTGAACGACCCTTAAAATCTTTGTAAGGATTTTAAGTCTTTGGGTTGAGGGATTTTATTTATGCTTTTAATTCTTTCATCTGTTAGAGATATTCCTGATGGTTCAAATTTAAACCCGAGAAATTGATAACTTTTGACGAAAGCAGAACATTTATTCAGGCTAATTTTAAGTCCGTTCTCTTTAAAAAGTTGCATTACTTTAATTAAAAGTTTTCTGTGATTATTTTTTCCTCTACAGCAAAGAAGGAGATCATCAGCATAAATTATGATTAGTTTTTTTAAAATAAGTTCTTTAAGGATGTCAGCTAATACTCTGTTAAAAGTAGAATTAACGTTTTTTAGGCCAAATGGGGATCTTAAAAACTTAATTGTTGACCAGTCAGGCGTGATAGTATTAAGATATTTGCTAGTTTGTTCCGTTAATTGAAGGGAATTATGAGCTGCTCTAATGTCTAATGATGAAAAATAAAGTGTTTTATCATTGTCGTCTTCATTTTCTAAAAATTCTTTGAAAGTTTGAAAATCTTTATCTACATTTAGGATTGGTTCTTTACATTGGTCCGCGGAGCTTCCGACGGACATCAGATCTGCAATTACTTCCTCTGGATTTTGAGAACAAACGATCTCGGGAAGTGTGTTTTCATTTAAAGATCTGGCATCAAGACAAATACGGTAAAGTTTGTTTAGTTCGTACATTGTGAATATATTCGGGTTTAGTCTGTGTAGCTCAGATTTATCTGATTCATCGATTGTTATATTTTCATTTTTTAATCTTTCCTTAATTTTTTCAAAATCTCCGTTTCCTATACTTATCTTTGCTACTGTTAGGCGGGAACCATGTGTTCGCACATTTGATTCAACTACTATTCCTGATTCTAACCAATTGTGCACAATTCTATTGCATGCAATTTTATTAATTACAGACGTTGGGTATGGTAGATCAAGGGGGAGGCGGGCATTAGGATTTTTTAAAGAAATGCTCATTTTATATTTTTCTTTATGTATACAACCTATGTCTGAAGGACTTTTTGAGACTGCTTCGTTAAAATGATCAATTAATGTTTCTAAAAAGTTGTTTTCTGTTCCTTACTATTTTAGAGAAAAGTTTTTTTGTCCTGTTCAAAAGAGTTAACTGTAAGTATTGGGATTGCTTCTGGTTCTTGTAAACAATTGCTTGGGATTGAATTTTGGGAATTTCCATAAACTTGTTGTTTATAAACTGTTTGTTCCCCGCCTCCCGTTGAGATATTATGTATTTTTTCAGAATTAGAAATAAATATTTTCCATTTTTTAGGAGTATCAGTACTAGTATATACAGACGAGAAGGAGGCCAGGAGGGTGTCAGAGAGTTTACTGTTTAAACATAGATTTAAGGTAGTGAGATTATTTTTTATTAATATTTTGTTTAGGAAAGCAGCAATTGGGCTATATGCAATATTTAAATTCCCAGGAATTCTTATAAAGATAATTAATTCAGCATTTTCTTCTTTCATTATTGATAATTTTGGGCGCATATCTTCGGCGAATTTTTTTCTATGTTTATGTTTTTTCGGAAACTGTTTGCAATTACACATATTTTTTGGATGAATGAGACAGTTAGAATATTTATCAATAAAAAATATTTTTGCAATTTCACTTTTATTTACAAGGCTAAACTGTTCCGAATCAATTTCCTCCAATTCCGTTTTTTGTTGTTTACATACGATTTTTTCAATATTTGTTACTTCGGTTTCTTCTTCATCAAGATATTTTATACATTCTATAAACTTTTCTAATTCTAGATCTTGGTACTCTTGTGTTTCCTCATTGTTTTTTTCAGCGGTTTCATCATCATCTTTGTGTTTGCTTTCATCAAAATTCGATTCGTTTAATTCATTAAATTCGTTTTCAAGATTAAGATTCAGTACTTTAGTGTTTATTTTTGCATTGTCGGCATAATTTGTCTCTGACTGTGGCAGTTAGCTTGGAACGTTTTTTTATTTTCGAAAGTTAGGCATTTGTATCCGGAGGTTTTTTCAAAATGTTCCAAAATGTGTAAGGGTACTATATTTGTGGGACACCCTGTATCTAAAATGAACCCTACACTGTTTTTTCCTAGCCTAGCTAAAACTAGAGGTACTGAACTAAGGATTGAAAATGGGATTCTAGGATTAAGAATGTTTGAGTTTGCCATGCCATTCAAATGATTAATTTTGGCGTTTTCAGGTTTTGATTTCAAGATATATTTTGCAAGATATTTTCTAAAGTTACCCCTTGGTTTTTTATTTGTAATGAAGTTGATCCTAGCTGCCAGAAGGTTTTTGGGAATTTTAGGCTTTGTATTTGGGAACATGTTTGGGAATTTATGTTTTAATCTGATTTTCCAGGATTTGAATTTAGAGGGGGTTAGATTCAGTTTGAAAAGTTCAATATTCCATATTTCTAGGACTGTTTCTAAGTATGAAAAGGCTGAGCTAGTGAAAAGTCTGAGATAGAAACATAATGAGAAAGCTATTGATGGATATGTAAAGCAGAGGATCGAGGTTAATATCAAATTCATTGCAATATTAAAACCGAACGTCATTGTTAAACCGGAAACTTGAAGGAAAAAAGCCAGAAAAAAGAAAATAGTTTCATGGATTGATTTGATTTCGATAGATGGGGTGAAAAAAGGGTCAATTGTTTGACTAACATCATTTAAGTCGTCAATGTTGTATTTTATTTTTCTGTCTTTTGAAAGAAATTTTTCCATTTTTTCGTTGAGGCTCAGTTGGGGGAGCAAATCTAAATTATCTTTAAAATGCTTATTTCTTTCGCGTTCAATACATGAGTTTCCAGAGGGGGGTGGTCGGTTGCAGCAGGGTTTGCGACCTGGATCTAAAATCTCATTGTGTAAAATTTCCGGTTTTAGGGGGGGTGTGTCTGAGATGCACCCCTCTAGTTCTGTGAATTTATCTACATCATAAGCTTGGGATGTCCGGGAGGGCAGGTTACCCGCCCCCCGAAAAAAAGTGAAAAAAGATTTGGGGAACTTAAAAATATCTACACTTTTGGGGCTAGAGGTTTCAATAGAATTGGATTCAGTTGATTCCGAAGATTTTAAAGTATCTTTGTTTTCAGGTTTTGGAATTTCAATGGGATCTGCATCTGCATGTTTTTTTGGTCTAACCCAGGTGAAAGGCTCAATATTTGAATCTTCAAAATTTTTGAAATCCTCTGCATTAGTATAAATATCGTCTTTTGAGCTATTCATGGGTAAATAAAGTTTCTTTTTATCATCAAGTAGGACTTTGATTGTTTTCTCAAAAGAAAGTATACTTTCGGTCGTGGATTTTATACTGTCATTTAGTTCTTGAATATTTTCATTTATCAAGGTATTTTGGTTTGAAACTTTACACTTTTTAGCCGCTGATTTAAGATTTTTTTGAGTTTTATGTAACTTGTTCAATTTTGCTTCAAGAGTAAAATATGATGGGGCATTGATGATATCTATATTATTTGGGTTTTCAATTTCTACGTTGTCTACNTTGATTGTTTTCTCAAAAGAAAGTATACTTTCGGTCGTGGATTTTATACTGTCATTTAGTTCTTGAATATTTTCATTTAATGAGGTATTTTGGTTTGACACTTTACACTTTTTAGCCACTGATTTAAGATTTTTTTGAGTTTTATGTAACTTTTTCAATTTTGCTTCTAGAGTAAAATATGATGGGGCATTGATGATATCTATATTATTTTGGTTTTCAATTTCTACGTTGTCTACATTTTCATTAGGTTTACTTTCTAAATTTTGTACAAGGGGGTTGTTTGATAATTCAGGGGGATTATTTACAGGGGGCCCCAACAATAGGCCTGTTTTGTTGGGGGAAAAGCAATGGCTGCCCAAAGTCCTTCCCCCCCTAAATCTTTTAGATATCTTTTTGTCTCTCTAATCGCTGTTTGATCTAATGTGTCTTTCGCCCCCTTAGACTTAAGAATGATCGATCCAATTTGGTCTATAACCTGTTGTGGTTTGTTATTGTCCTTATTCCTAACTATCCTTTCTATAGAGTTTTGAATATCTTCTACCGATTTAAGCTTTCCGTGTATGGTTTGTAGTGTCCTGTATGTTTCTTCAATCCCTGCGTGTTTAAATCTAAGGTGCTCAAGTGTTTCTAGACAGTCAGTGGGAAGTATTATACAAAGTGCCTTAACTAGTTCGTGTTCATTAACAATGTGTTCCTTGTCCTGTAAAAATTGGTTTATGTATTGGAGGGTTCCCTCGAGGGATGCAAAACCTCTTGTGTCTTTTCTATAAAGTCGTAATGTGTCTATGTCTGTCTGTGTGAGTGGCTCGGAGCCGTACAGAATAGGTGGTTTGATAAAAGTGTCATTGGTCGAATCTTGGTGTGTTTGTGCGTCTGTCACGAGTTTTGCTAGAGTGTTGATATCTAGTGTGCTAATATTTGTGTTTAGGTGTGGTGTAGGTGTGTGTGTGTGTGTTTGTGTGGGGGGGGTGTTTTTAATGAAGAATTTGTCTAACATTGTCCTAGCCTCTGTTGGGGTGATAACTTTCAGTAGTTNGAGGGGGGGGGGTAATAATTGGTTCAATTATCGGATTAATGTCAACATAAATAGATTAACTAGTAAAAAGGAAGTTAAATGTACTCACAGACATGTTGTAGACTGTTGTATCTCTTAGTTTTGATCCAGGTCCAGGTGTTCTCACTTCAGTCCAGTGTTGAGGTCGAGTATGTATATATATCCAGGTCCAGGTGTTCTCACTTCAGTCCAGTGTTGAGGTTGAGTATATCCAGGTCCAGGTGTTCTCACTTCAGTCCAGTGTTGAGGTTGAGTATGTATATATATCCAGGTCCAGGTGTTCAAACTTCAGTCCAGTGTTGAGGTTGAGTATGTATATATATCCAGGTCCAGGTGTTCTCACTTCAGCCCAGTGTAGAGGTTGAGTATGCATATATATATCCAGGTCCAGGTGTTCTGTGCAGTATTGTTCTCTAGGTTACTGCAGGATGCAGTACATGTTAGGTCCAGCTGTTGTTATTGTTGGTTCTCCAGGTCTTCTCTTGTGTTTAGGTAGGTAGAGCTGAGGTACAGGTTGATCTTGATGGCGCTCTCCACCAGTTTTTTGTGAAGAGAGGGTTGTGTGGGTTCATTTATTAAAGAGAATGTTCAACTAAACAGTAATCAATGTTCTAATTCAGGTTCATCAGTCCTCGGTAGATGTTGTCCGAGGTCTTCTAGAGAAGAAGAGTGGGAGAGGTCAGATGGGTTGACCTTCTCCTTCCAGTGCTTGTCGTAGAGTGTTGAAGACCTGGGGTTCTTTCCATCATCAAGAATTAGATAACGATATGAGTTACAAAGCATAACAATAACAAATATTCTTTACAAAATTATGATATAACAAACATTAATTATATACAAAATAAAACGAGCACTATTTAACTTCCTTTTCTTATTTACTAGTTAGAATTGCATAATGTAAAGTATATTTAAACTAATCGGTTCTTTATGAAGGGGGGAAGTGGTACAAGAAAGGGAGGGGGAGGGTTTATGACCACTAAAAATAGTCATTTCTTTATCGGGATTTTTCTAGACGTTAGGGATGTAATTATCTCTGAATAGGGAGAAGAAAGAATCAGATTATGACAGCGGGGAACCCATCAATTTCTATAATTGTTAGGTGCAAGAGATTAGATCTATGGGAAAAGCAAGGATTCCATCAGATATCTATTTTTAACGTTGAAATTGTTAGAAATCAAGGATTCAGGAAAACAGGGATTCACTACAATAGATATCGACAAGTTTCAAAACACTGGGTTTGATGTAAAGCATTGTACAAAAATGGTGTAAACGCTAGGGGGTAGGCTCTCCGTGCTTGATAATATATTTATATATAAATAATAGAGTTTAGACTTAAAATTGGGTTCATTTATAAATGCCGTAAATATGTTTGCCATTAATAAGTGTGTCATATTTACTCCTGCCATATTATATGTTTGCCATAATTAACATTTGACATAAGTAACACTTACCACAGGGTACACTTGACAAAAAAATTTACACTTTCTATAATTTACACAAGCAATAACTAACACTTGGCATAAGATTTAAACTTGCCATAAGTTACACTTGCCACATGTTAAACTTGTCATAAATTACAAATCTGCAAAGTTATCTTTTTCAAAAGTATATATCTTTAAATCCAAGACGAGTAGAACAAAATTACACCATATATTTATAAAATAATGTGGAAACTTAGATTCTGGAAATAATTCAGTAGTTAATTAAGTTTCAATAAGATAATTTTTGTTTTCAGTGATTTATTTTGTAAGTTATGAAAGTGAGCTTTGTTCAGATGTTTCAAATTCAGGATAGGATATGTTCGAAAAATGGAAAACCTAACATTATCTTGAAAATGAACTCCTACTATAATTTTTATTTTAAAAAAAAAATTTAAATTGGGAATTGTTGTCCTCGTCATGTTTATTAAAATATTGGTTAATGTTTTTTCTATCGATTGTTACTCTGGATCTGGGCAGGGATCTCAAAAACCCAGTCTTTCAATTTGTGCCCATCTCTATCACTCAATGTTAGAAATAGGCCAAGTGTTAGTATTAGTGTTATGTATTGATTTGCCATAAGTTTAATAGTTACACTCGCCATAACTACACTTGCCATAAAAATACTAACCATAAAAATTCTAACCATAAAAATACTAACCATAAAAAAGTTACATCATTTGAAATTAATTATAATTACAATTAATATTCATAAATATTTGAAGATAAAAAAGAACTTCCCAACAAGTCTAATTAAGAGACAGCTCATGAGCATTGAGATTAAGGTACTGCTTAAGAGGAATAGTAACAGACTTAAAGGGACTTAAAGGAAAAATGAAAGGGGGTATAGGCAGAAAGCTAATCACTTTAGCTCTCGATCGCGACCCATGAAAGTTATGTCTGATGATCCTATCACAGACTTAACCTTCTTTAAAGTATCTCAGGTCACTACTAAAGGGTATTTATGATTAACATATTATGACAATTATATTTATGGCAAGTGTAACTATGCCAACAGTATTTATGGCCAGGGCAAACTATGGCATAGGTATTTATGACTAACATATTATGACAAATGAAACAGAAAAATGAATGTTAAATTTACCTGACTGAGGCATCATCAATTACCAAACAGAGTCCACTGTTGTGAATTTTGATCCTAGTTCAATTACATAAAGAGGTAACCCACAATGACTGAGACTTTAAAGACGACCTGAAACTTTTTAATTCTAAGGACTGTAGGTTCATTTGTATCCTAGACTTTTAATAGGTGATTTCAATTAGTTTTAAAAGAAGTGAAAAAATGTATAGCTACAGTGAATCTCAATGCAAGAAAAATTACAAGATGTTATTCTGTACAGCCGTCTCTGAAGTCTCATCCTTTGTGGGTAACCTGTAGATAATTATGAATTCAAAATTTAAATTTTCTTTATTCAACGTTTGAAAATAAAGCAGGGACTACAGCTGCTACAGTGAAACCCTTTATAACGAATATATCGAAAGAATACATCAAATGTCGTATTCTTCACTTTCTGATAATGGAATGTTGCAGATATTTAGTTTTTTAATTAAATGATTATATGGAACTCTTTAAAACTGTTCCCGCATATTCATGGCTATTTATTTATTTTCGCAAGTACTGAAATTGACGAAATATAGTATAAAACTCATTGAAAAATTGTCAAGACGAAATTTGATCAATTCTTCCGATGTATTCGTTATTAAGGGTTTCACTGTATTAACATTGTGTATTAATGACTATAGCTTGAAGAACGTTTTAAATAATTTAATAAAATATTCCGAAAAATATTAAGTTTCTAAAACTCTATCAGCATGATTTTGAAATTCTTTTTGAAAAACAGGAAATCATTGAAATTTGTAAAAAAATAACCTGCCACTTCTATTTAAAAATAAAAAGTTAAATAAATATCAAAATAATTTAAGCACAGTTATTCAGAATAATTTCAACTTGCGTTCTCATTTATTTCTCTACAATATACTGCATTCTCAGCTTAACTACCATGTCTAGCCAGGCACTCCCTTTAATATGGCAATAAGCTTCAAAGCTTACCTATCGTATGAATATGGGACAACCGCTCCTTTGTACACTCGGCCAGCAAGAGATATATCATTCTAAATACATAACATATTCACATTTCATTCTGTACTAGCTTGAGAACAAGGCTTTGCCTGGATACCATATTTTCTCTTTAAAGTTACCCCACTCAACCAAGGACAATCAAATCAAACAAAGAAACAAAAAGACAAACAGAGGTTCATCTTTATTTATAAAGACAAGACATGTTACGATGAATACAGTAAGTATTCATAACTTGACTTGCCAATATTTGTTTAGCATGGGCCTATATCCGTTTACCAAAAATGTCAGGTGGAGGGGGNAGTTTTGCTCACACAGGAAACTATGCAAACCGTAATGGGGGAGAAATATAACATTTTTTCCCCAAAGGCCAGGGAAAAGTTTGAAAATAGAAAAAAAAAATGGGGAAAAGGGAAGAAATAAGGAGAGGAGGAGGAAAGAGGGAATTTATTATCATTTACTAGTTTTGGCTCACACTGCACAGAAAGCTAAACAAAACCTTTAAAAAGCTCTTTTCTTACTGTTTTTAGGGCACCAAAACGCTTAATTGTAACAACAAAATATCGTAAAATTTTCTTTCAAGTTTGTAAAAAAAATATTTTTTTTTGTATTTTTAGAAAACATTATTTGAAAAGAACTTGTTTACATTTTGGTAACTTTGGGAGCAAAATGATTTTTTTACCGACCTTCTCTAGGTCTCCCGGACCCACACTCAGCTCACAGGAATATTTCGCAGCAACATCCTCACAACCTCAAGTACAACAACCAACATCATTAATTGAAGGGATCGTTTACATTTACTCCCTTTTTAACAATTTTTTAATTTTATAAATTGGATACAGTTAATACATAACATTTTTTATTTTATTATTCTTCTTGTCATCGTTTCTCTTCTTTGTTTAGAACAAGATATATAAATAAATTCATAAAATGGATTCCTGTAAAAATATTCACAAAAAATAAAAGAAAAATTATAAACAGTAAACTCAAAATAAAATAAAAAATGTTTTCACATTCTACAATTCTAATCATTTCTTGTAATTTTTATCTTTTATCAAAATGTTTGAATATTAAATATTTGTAAAATTTCTTGTTAATTCATAATTTTCCCAACCAATCCAAAATTCATTATTAAAGTCTACAATACAAAGGTTTACCTAACAATCTATAAATCTTATTCTGGATCAATATGAGGGGTGCAATTTCACAGCACACGGCATTTTTTTGTTCTGTTGGATACATTAAACATTGATTTTCCCTCTGAAAATCATTTATTTTCCCCTGAAAATCATTTATTTTCCCCTGAAAATCATTTATTTTCACATGAAAATCATTTATTTTCACATGAAAATCATTGATTTCCCCTGAAAATCATTTATTTTCGCATGAAAATCATTGATTTCCCCTGAAAATTATTGATTTCCCCTGAAAATCTTTTATTTTCCCCTGAAAATCATTGATTTCCCCTGAAAATCATTTATTTTCCCCTGAAAATCATTGATTCCCCATGAAAATCATTTATTTTCCCATGAAAATCAAGTATTTCCCCCCATTCAAAGCATAAATCCTTTAAAAAAAATTTCCCCAGCTAATTTATTTTCTAATGAAATAAATTATTTTCAAAAGGGGGGCGGGAGGGGGAAATTATTCTTTGAAAAACTAAAAAAAATACAAATATTATGTTTTACCGTAATATCTAAGAAAGAAGAACCAGAGTCCTCGTGATTGCTTCCTCTCGTAATACAGGTAAAACAGGTTCTTCAGGTTTTAAAAATGTAAACTTACACAAAATAAAGGTTTTTATAATTGTACTCGTGACTAAAAGTAACATTGTGATAAATTAGGCCCTCCTTAAGCCCCCTTCTGAACTAAACCTGACATCCCTGACACTCCCCTATATACATTAAGCATATCTATTATTTTTTATCAGTACATTTTATGATAATTTCTTGAATTCTTTTACTATTGAAGAAGAAAAATATATTATGTCAAACAAAATCATAATTGGTGACACTCTTGAAACACTAAATCTTATCAAATTTTGCAGGGATGGCTTGAGGCTCCTAAATGAGGATTTGAGTTTCAAGTCTTGCCCACATTTGGGGTTTTCAGCCCGATCTCTACCAATATCAAAAACGTTAGATCATTAATATTAATTAAATTAATACTTTTAAAAATTTATGTTTAAAAAAAAGTAGCCGCTAACTTGATTTAGTATTTTTTTTCCTGGTGAGAGTAGAAGTTTCATATTTCACCCTTGTTAAAAATTTAAAAAATAAACGGTATAATAATGGTAAATAAATTATCTAAAAAATATGTTGGTTTACATTCCTGATCAAACTCTAGCTCTAGTGGAGGGAATCTAAAAAAATTATAAAATTTAAAAAGTTTTAGGATCCGGATTCCAAACATTTAATTTGGATTCAAACCATTCAATTTACATTTAGGATCCGGATTCATAACGATTAGAATCCGGATTTCAAACATTTATTTCGGATTTAAACCATTCTCAGGGTGGCCAAAACTTGTTGGAAAAAAACCGTACATTTTCAGAAAAAAACCGAACAATCCGTACAATTTTCGAAAAAAAATCCGTACAATCCGTACAATTTTCGAAAAAAAAATCCGTACAATCCGTACATTTTTTTTTAACAAATCTGTGCATTTTTTTTAAAAATCCGTACAATCAGTAAAATTTTCGAAAAAAATCCCTACAATCCGTACATTTAAGAAAAATAAAACTATTTTTGAAAATATTATTCAACACTGTCTCCCTCCCCATTCCCCACCACCTCTTTCTCCTCACCATCTCTTAACTCCCCCCCACCCTTCCCTCAGCAACCAATGATGTTCCCTCTAACAACCTATATTCCTGGTAGTAAAAACTACTGTAGGTATTTGAATGCTTGGATAAGAACCCGGAAATAATGAAAAAAAAAGATCAACTGAAGAAACTCAACTTAAACTCAATTTTAAAATCCTTTTATCTTTGCAACCTGAAACCTTTGGTTTTTGAAACGAAGCCTAATAAATCTGGCAGAATTCACAGCTTATAATAAGTCTACAACATAAGGTTGCAAAGATATAAAACTTAAACATTAATATTAAACACTAACAGCTAAGGAACTAGAGAACTAGAGAACTAGAGAACAAGAGAACTTAGAACTAGAGAAATAGAGAACTAGAGAGCTAGAGAGCTAGAGAGCTGGAGAGCTAGAGAGCTAGAGAACTAGAGAACTAGAGAACTAGAGAAGTAAAGAAGTAGAGAACTAGAGAACTAGAAAACCAGAGAACCAGAGAGCAAGAGAACCAGAGAACTAGAGAACTAGAGAACAAGATCGGTGTGAATTAGGCCATTTAACAAACAAACGATTAAGTTATAATTAGAAAGAGTGGAGTGTAAATTTAGGATGTTATATAATTAAAATTAGCGAGGTGGGAGGTAGTACAGGGGTTGCACACCCAATTAAAAGAAAGTTAATATTAAACTAAAAATGAAAAGATTTACAGATAAACGGAAGAAACTTCAGAGGATGTTCTCAGATCTGATAAAGAGACAGATAGATAGATAAACAGACAGACAGATAGATAGACAGATAAATAGACCGAGAAACAGATGGACACATACACATATAGATAAACAGAGAGACAGATAGGATATATATAAACAGATAGATAAAAAGATAGATAAACTGACATGTAGATAGACAGATAGATAGACAGATAGCTAGACAGATAGCTAGACAGATAGCTAGACAGATAGCTAGACAGATAGCTGAACAGATAGCTAGACAGATAGCTAGACAGATAGCTAGACAGATAGCTAGACAGATAGCTAGACAGATAGCTAGACATATAGCTAGACAGATAGCTAGAAAGATAGACAGATAGATATACATATTCTCAATTGAACACTTCTAGGACATATCTCGAAAATTATGAATGAATTTTGATTGTCAATTGAAACATTAATCAATCTAATATTATTAAGAATGCAGAAAATAAGTTAAACTAACTTCATTTTGACGAGAATTTTTTTTTGAAATTTTCTTGAAAAATTTGCCGCAATTAAAAAATAAACGGTGTATTTCCAGGATAAAAATCCGTACAATCCGTACAATTTGAAAAAAAAATCCGTACAATCCGTACAATTTTAGGGTTACAAAAAAAAATCCGTACAATCCGTACATTTTGGCCACCCTGCATTCTATTTACATTTAGGATAAGAATTCAAAACTTTTAGGATCCGGATTCATAACAATTAGAATCCGGATTTCAAACATTTAATTCGAATTCAAAACATTCTATTTACCTTTAGAATCCGGATTCTTAACATTTAGAATCCGGATTTCAAACATTTAATGCGGATTCAAAACATTCTATTTACATTTAGGATCCGGATTTCAAACATTTAGGATCCGGATTTAAACCTATTGGAATCCGGATTTCAAACATTTAATTCTGATTCAAACCATTCTATTTACATTTAGGATCAGGATTCAAAACATTTAGGATCCGGATTCAAAATATTTAGGATCCAGATTTATACCATTTAGGATTAGGATTTAAAATATCATGTTTCATGAATTAATAGTTATCAATTACTAAAGGGAATGGATCCGCATCAAATATAATTCTAAGGACAGAAAGTACGAAAATAAATACAATCTTTTTTATGCTTCATACCTGGCACTGTCTTGATTCTCTAGATCAAATAAGAACTTTTCCTAAAATTAATTTGTTAATTGAAAAGTGCATAATTCAAAAATAAAAAAATAAGAAGTACAAAATCAAATTTATACAAAAAAACGTAAAATTATAAAGGTAATCGTTAATTAATTAATAAATTTTTAGTGTGTACAGTGAAACTCATAAAACTGGAATGAGAAGACAAGTGTTTGGGCTTGGCTTACGGGGACTGTAAACTTTATCTGATGAAGTATGAATTAGATATCAATATTTATGATATAGGAATTAACAGAATTGAACACTTTTAGCCCTTGCATTATTGATTAAGTCATCTTTGATTATGAAAAGTCCAATAATAATAATGATCATAACAAAGTCAAGGACAGGAGGCCTCAAATCGAAAATTATCATATCGGCCACCCCACTTAAAATTCAAATTTATATGCCATGTGCATAAGGACTACATCGTAAATATACCAAGGAGGCCATTTTTGATAATAATACGACAAAAATAACAAGAATAATTCATTTATGTCAAATTTAAAAACCTTTTTGTATGTTTCGTATCTGTTATTTGAACATTTTAAAACATATTTATGCGAAAGCAAAGTTAACTTTTCTTCTAATCTCGATATTAATTTTCAACCTAGCCAAAATGGCAAACTACCAACAAGTGGATTTACTTTCTCATTTTTAGTGAAACTTCTAACTGGTGTCTATCGATCGGTAAAAATTCCGATTCCAAAAATGTCCAAATTTAAAAATCGAACGATCATGAGAGGTCTAGCACCGAGAATTTGAAATTTGAGATTAGAAATCTTGCCAGGCTATATTCGTTGAATAAAACGTGCTGGGTCGATTCTACCATGAGTAGCCTGACTGGACGGTACGACTGAATGCAAATACAACATGGAACAGGCAACTTTTAGACTGGGTGTAAAGTTCTTTTAAAAATATGAAAAATAATTACCTTGTCGTGCATCATTTTACTAGTGATAAACCCATGCCCCAGAGTTGTAAATCCCTAGAAAATAAGATGATTAATTTAATGTTTTCAAATGTTATTTTCAAATTATGTAATTATTTTCATTATATATAGGCTATCATAACAGGCATGAACAGGGTTACCCACAAAGGATACGACCTCAGAGACGACTGTACGGAATTCTGTCTGTCTTCTTATATTCATGATTCTCTGCAATTTTAAACTTGTTTCTTCTTTGTCAAATCACTTTGTATATATATATATATATATATATATATATATATACACCATAGTATATATATAATCCATTTTCAGATTGTTTTCTAAGCTGAATATAAAGTTTCAGGTCGTATTTATAATCTCATTCTTTGTGGGTATATGGCTTGTTTGTTGGTTTGATTGTATCCAATAAACGATAAAACGACGAAATTTTCTTTGTTTGATTTTATAATGATACTAGCTTGGGAGCCCACAGTGGGTTATAGTTAGTCCCACTGATTACCCGCGCTTTGTCGTCAATTAAGGTTTTACCTATTTTTTTCGATAAAAGTTGACCCACTTACTTTAGAATCTTAAAACCAAGCTAAGAACATTCCCGTGGCTCTCCCCAATCAAAATTTGAGGCAAATCAGTCCAAGGGTTACCAAGTTATGATCGGACAAACAAACAAACAGACAGGCAAACAAAGATTACAACTTTTTATATGTAGATACAATACAATAAAATTGTCGCCGTAAAGAAAGTGTGGCGCTTCCGTTGGAATCCTAGTTTCTTTTACTTAAAAATTGAGGGGAAACTCGTAAACTGTCTTTGCTCTACATTGGTTTCTATGTGTAAAACATTTTTAAATAACTCAGTTTCCAGGTAAATTTTGAATCCCAATCTAATTTCTAATTCAACTATTTACGTTGGAAACTTGTTTCTTGAGAAATCCAAAAGGACGTCAATTTAATCGTTAATATTGATTGAGGAGAGAAATCAAGAAATTTGTTTATATTTGTAATTCTAAAATCATATCAAAATTGTTCAGATATTTTAAAGCTATTTAATTTTCATGGACCACGTTTTTAAAAGATTACAAAAAGGGCAAAAACCGTCCTGAAAGGGACAGTAAGCGCGTAATTTCAAGTAACCCTTAATGCATGAATTAGATATGCATAGTCTTGTTTATTTAAACTGTTTATTTTCATTTTCGGTTTCTCTGCGAATGTGACTTACGCATTTCGTCGTAAAATGAAGCAAGAAAGAAACTCTCAGGTATTTCCACCTTTTGAGCCAGAAAAATGACGGTATCCTATATTTTTGATCAGATTAAGGTTTTAAGGGTACACTTTTAAATCGGGCATTGCCAACTTTGCATAATGCATGCACTTGAAATTACACTTACCGTCCCTTAAATTCAGCAGAATCAGTCGGGCAGCGTGTACAATGTACATATAGAATACACAAAACACGTATTTTCTACATGAAAATTTTAACAACGGAATTAATTCTGTCTTCAAGAAATAGTACCTTGTCAAAGCTGTGTTCGGATCTACCATGATCCCTGGACCAAAGAAAAATAATTTCAACTTTAAAAAAAATAAAGTTAGAAATCTAAATGACAATTTCAAAAGTGCGCAAAACTGACAGGATCAAAGTGCTAGAAAAAAACTTTACGCGAGCAAAAAGTTCATCCCCTCTATTCATTAAATTGAGGATCACTTAAAATTAGGTCGAAAGTCCCTTTAAGGCAATCTAAAAACCTATTTCACTGCGCCCTGTCCCTTTATATTTTTTGTGGCAGAAAAAAATTATTTCCTAATGAACCGAAGCGAATCACTGAAAGTACAAGACTTGGCAAACAAACGCTTGGGACACTGAACAATTCTATAGAAACAGGTTCTCTCGTGGATTTCCTAAAAAGAATTTTAGATCAGTTGAGCGTTACAAAATTCGGAATGATTGTCGTCTTAGAGATTTCCTTAAATTTTGAACTTTCACTGAAGATTTTGACATTTGTAAGTGTTAATATTTCACTGGGAACATTATTTCGCGCACATTTTGTTGCAAATTATGGAATATAAATGACATTTTGTAATCTAATTCAACCATAAGTCGTTCTACTGCTACATAAATAAACAAATTTTGGCTAAATTGCTATTTTTTGAAAATGTTGCGAGCGGTCTGAATAAGGTTCCGTTGTGAATCGACAATATTTTTAAAATTTAAGGATCACTTGGAATTAAGTCCTATAAGGTAAGGTTACTTCCCAAATGAACCTAGAACATATCTGAACCATACAAATACAATAAATTTCAGAGGATAAACCGCACATATTTTGTATTGATCAAACAAGACTAAGAAGTAATGATGCAACGATACAAAAAAAAGTTAATTTAAAATGGGTGTGAGGGGGGATGAACCCTGTCATTCAAATTTGAAAAAAATTACCCTAGCTTCTTCAGATATCTTCTGTGTACACCCTTTAACAGCATAGTTACAATCCTGACACAAAATAATAAGTTTTAGCAAAGTTAAGTTACAATCCTAACAATAAAACAAGGGTGCATATTTTCTCGAAAAATCTTTCCCACTTTTGAAAAAAAAATTTCCCACAGGACAAATATTTTTCTAGTTTTTTTCGCTGAATTGGGAAAATTAATAATTTAAATTTTTAGGAGACAAAAGGTAAAAATATGGGTAAAAAAATATCAAAAAGAATTAAATAACTTGCATTTTGATGTCCTATTTTTCATTTTTCCCCAAATCATCAAAAAGGGGTTACATCTGAAAAATATTCACCCTTGCACAAAATACTACATTTGTACGTGAACCAAACCGTCACATCTAAAAGATTTTGAATAAAACAAAATATGAAAAAATTTACTAAGTACTAAAAAATAATTATTTATAATGGGACAAATAAAACTGTTTAACGGGCAGGCAATATTTAAGCACTATTATGTTTATTTTATGCTATACAGCAAATAAACTTAACAGCACCTTAAATCAACTTACTAATTAAAATATGTGTACACTGCACAATTTCTATTAAAAATCAAAACTTGAGTCCAACAGTCGTCTTCCAATTCCACAGTTTTACTGATCCCAGTGAAAATACAATGTGCTTTACCTTGGTGAACAACTTAGTCTCTAGTTCTGTCAGACGAATGTTGATTTCCTAAAGAAAAAGTCATTTTTATCTTTTCCTTAATATCTAAATATACATATATATATAAAAAACCTTGTGAAAATGCGCGTATAAGCAGGCTCTCTGCTGTTCCAGTAGGATCGCTTTACGTACGAGGGGAAACCCGTTAGTCGCGGGGTGCAATATATATATATATATATATATATATATATATATATATATATATATATCTATATTTATATCTATATATATATCCATATCTATCTATCTTTATATCTATTTATGCAGGGGATTATCGATGTTTTGGACAAACAACATTTTCTAACTATTTTGAGAAAATGGAGACAAATCTGACTGTATATCATCATCCTGTTCCTAGATCATGGTATCAATGGAAGCACCTGCTACCTGCATTATTTCCTGAGAAATGTAAGATCAGCTACTCAATTGCGAGTAAAAAACATCCCAAAGGAGGTGAAATATTATTTTTTTGGAATTTTTTAGCCCATAAAGTTTACTTATGATTAAAAAGCATTTTATATTTTCTTTTCCTATCTGTTATTCTTAGCTACTTTAAAAAATATTTTCTAAAAACATTTTTTTGACACCCCCTATCAAACATAAAAAATGAAGAAAATAAAATAGTTTATTTTTTATTAATAAGGTGCCGGATCCTACATATCTGGAGACTACAGACGGAGATATGGAAGATTTAAATTCATATCCTGTTCCTGCATGTACATGATGAAAAAATAAGCACTGGCTTTCACCATTTTTGGCTGAGATATTGAAAAATGTCTGAAATGGAAAATGTCTATTCTATTGTTAACCAAAATTTACAATTGCATTACGTATTTACTGAAAGCATGCTAATATGACGTCGCTCCTTTCAACAGAAAAGCGGATCTTTTTAAACTAAGAATATGCTAAAAAAGAGTTCTCAGTTGAAATCTTAAAAAAATTAAAATTAAACATTAAAAATTTGAATTTAAATCATAATTTTTCGCGGATTTTTGGCTATTATCATTAAATTTTTGATGAATTTTTACAAAAGTTTGGTTTCGGAAACTGTTTTTCAATGTTCCAAAAATATTTTTTATTCTTTTTATCACATTTTACTTTTTTAAACCTAAAAACCGAAGCAAAAAATAGTTCAGATGATAGCCAGATTGCAGTGGTAACCAGAATACAGTGGTAACCAGAATACAGTGGTAACCAGAATACAGTGGTAACCAGAATACAGTGGTAACCAGAATACAGTGGTAACCAGAAAACAGTGGTAACCAGAATACAGTGGCAACTAGAATACAGTGGCAACTAGAATACAGTGGTAACCAGAATACAGTGATAACCAGAATGCAGTGGTAATCAGAATACAGTGTTAACCAGAATACTGTGGTGACCAAAATACAGTGGTATCCAAAATACAGTGATAACCAGAATACAGTGGGAACTAGAATAAAGTGGTAACCAGAATGCAGAGGTAACCAGAATACAGTGATAACCAGAATACAGTGATAACCAGAATACAGTGGTAACAAGATTACACTGGTAACCAGAATACGGTTGTAACCAGAATACGGTGGTAACCAGAATACAGTGGTAACCAGAATACAGTGGTAACCAGAATACAGTGATAACCAGAATACAGTGGCAGCTAGAATACAGTGACAGCTAGAATACAGTGGCAACTAGAATACAGTGGTAACCAGAATACAGTGATAACCAGAATGCAGTGGTAATCAGAATACAGTGTTAACCAGAATACTGTGGTGACNAGAAAATCTCGGTAAACCTTCAACCCCCCCCCCTCTTCAACCCCGGTATAAAACCTCCTCTCCTTAATAATATTTTTACTTAATAACAATTTTACAAGAAAATGTCGACTTAAGAATTCATTTCTAAACATGGCGTAAAAATATTTAAGAAAAATATCAGTTATTACAATTAAAAATTACACTTTGCTTAAAATTGATAGAACCACTGGATGATATTTACCGAATTAAAACAGTGGGGGCAACTGAGGAGAACACCCCCCTGCTCCCTGCAAGAGCTGCAGATAAAATGCCCCTGAAAAAAAAGAATAGATGGAGAATAAATATTTGTTAATATTTGAAATAGAGTTGTGCATCCATAAGCTTCCAAATGTAAATAATAAGAAAAAGTGATTATTGTTTTACTTTATTAATTCCTCTACTTCCAAAAACCCCTATTTGGATTTTGTGATATTAAATTCTTTTCCATTCCTTATCGCAGCCGTAGAGCGGTGATTGTTTAGGTAGAGCCCTACAGATAGCACAGACACCTTCTTCTTAAAGAATAGTTTAATAATATATAACATATCGTCCCTCCAGGGCGTACAAAGGAATTTGTCGAGGAGGGGCTCAACACCCGTTGGGGCCTAAAAATCCCCTAAAAAGCATAGACTTTAGTGCCCCATGGGGGGGGCCCCTCCCCAGTGTACGCCTCTGAAAGGGACTGTTCACCAAATGTATCCAATATTTTTATCAAACTAGTTTTCTTGTTATAAAATTATTTGTTCCTGCCTTTCAGTGAGTAATTCGAGTTCGAGTCTGTTTTCTCAACATTATCCAGCCAATCATCTAAACATATAAATCTCAATGCTTTTCCCCCGCCATCTTTTTTTCCCCGCGGAAAAAAAATTTCTACCATTTTCTATTTCGATTGTGAACATATTCTCTTTGCATACCTTATAAAACAAAACCAAAAAAAGTTCGCAAATTTTATAAAAAAAAAAATTTCGTGGATTTCAAATCTAATGAAAATCGAATTTTGTTGGAGAGATAATTAACCCCCCCCCCCCCTAATTCATTCAGAAATTTACATAGCATTCATTTTCTTAAATTTAAAATTGAAAAAAACTGCCTTTTCCCCAAAAGCGGTATAATTTTTTTCCAGGGTAAAGAACGTCGCGTCAAACCCATCCTGGGAAAAATTGCATGTATGACAGGGGTCCAAAGTCCTTTAAACTCCGAGGTGTTCACTGTTCACTGTTCACAGTTCAGGCCCGTAACAAGAAACTTTTCCAAGGGGGGGGGGCGCACAAAATATTTAATGACCTGAAAGCCAAAAAGGGTCAAAGGGGCCTGAATAAATGTCTCTGATAAAAAACTAGATTGTTAACTTGTAGATGAAAATTTTGCACGTTTTCTTTTCTTAAATGCTATTGAGAAGCTATTTGCATGAAAAAATTCGAGGTATAATGAGGTCATAATCATACTGATACATTATTATCAGAAAAGATTTTATGTTATGATTAAAGTAAACCTACCAATAAATGAATTACTTAACATTTTTGCATCACAAATAGTTAGTATTTATTTTCACTTCATGAAAAGTGGCATTAAAAAGGATCGTAATGTCGCTAAAAATTTAATTTCAATCTTGAAAATCTTAAATTTTCCCTAACACACTGCTGAGAATGGACCATCAGGTTTCAAGTCAAAAAAACTAAACTTTTTCTTTGGATTATGTTTAAATGCAGGCTACTGAGTTATATTCTCAATTTTCAGATAATGCCATCTAGGGAATTTTGAGCAAATCAATTTTTAAGAAATTATAGAAATCAAGTACATCCACAGGTCTTAAATTAGACAAAACTTTCATTTCAAGACTTTTATCTGCTTAAAGCTTTATCTTGGTTTTTTGACGATATTTTTTTAACAGTTTATGACATGGTCTCCAAATTTTTTAATTTTTCTTTAACAGTCATGAAACTTATTGTAGCATAAAATTAAACCCCTAACTCAACTGCCTGACTGTCAAAATGAGGCCCGAAACAGTTTTTTGATGTACTACTGATTTTACTAGAAAAAGTCTTTTTTAGGCAGTAATTGGGCAATTATACAGTTCACTTAAGGGTTTGATTTTTTGCTGAAACGTCATATGACTGTTAAGGAAAATTCACAAAATTTGGGGACCCTGCCTTCAACGGTTCTGAAAAATATCGCTAAAAAACACAGAATAATCTTGATTAATCATTGAACCTACAGTTACGATTGAGTTTAGACTTAAAAATGCACTTGATTTCTACAATTTCTTTAAAATGTATTTAATTAAAAATCCTTGGGGGGATATTTTCAGAAAATTTAGATTATATCTCAGAAGTCTACATATTAATATAATCCGAAATAAAAATTAGGTGTTTTGACTTGAAATCTGATGATTCATTTTAAGCAGTGTGCTAAACTAGAAAATCGAATTCGAGAAAAAGAGGGGAGGGAACACATGCATGGGTGTATACCTTTCATAGAATCTTTGTTTACATCGCCATTTCCTATTTCCTCCTCAGGCTTCCATGCTCTTTTTCTGCTTACATCTTCCATTTTGCCTTAAATTATAATTAACTTGATAAAATAGAAAATCTCGGTAAACCTTCAACCCCCCCCCCTCTTCAACCCCACCTTCAAATTTTTAATCTTTCTATAGGAAATTACCCTTTAATTACAATCACAATTATTTTCCTTCAAAACTCATTTAATTGAAAATAAAAATTGAATTGTATCACTTATAAAGTGTACACTTGTAAATAAATAAAACACCATTTGTCTCCAGAATAAAAGTGAATTAGGTAGTTGATCCTAGAGAACGATTTTTGGACCCTTCAGAGGTATAAAACCTCCTCTCCTTAATAATATTTTTACTTAATAACAATTTTACAAGAAAATGTCGACTTAAGAATTCATTTCTAAACATGGACCCCATCCACCTCTAAATCCCATGTTTGATGTCCTAATATGACAAATGATACATCATTAAAAGCTCTTCTGCTCTATTTTCAGAATCTGCTAAAAAAAATTGCATATTGCAAAAATTGAATTTTTTTTGCAAAATCCAGTTATAAAGTTAAAATGTCCAAATAATGATAAAATATAGATTTTCAAAAAACCCTTGTCAATGTCCATGCCATTTTAAATATGCAAAAAAATTTGCAAAATTTTAAATAACCTGATTCAGACAAACTAAAAATGTACAAATTTCTTTTGACTAGTTGTATGCAAATAATGTGCAAAATTTTCTTTGCAAAACTTGTGCAATCCATTTCTTTATGTCAAAGGTTTTCCAGAAAGCCAAAAATTATAAAATCTAATAACTAAAAGTGGGTCAAAACAAAGATTTAGTTTGTTACAGGAAAAAGTAGTCATTCAGGCAGTGTGCCCATAAGGACTCAGGTAGTTGGTATAAAAGCCCAGTTTCAGACTGAAAGGGAGGGCTTATTAGGGTTTCCAAATTTTCGTTTAATCTCTTTCGCGAAAATTTCCTTCATCCAACAAAAATGTGAATGAAAACGAAAATTTTCGTTCATTTTCTAGAATATTTTAGTTGAATAATTTACGCGAAGTTCAAAATTTGTTCGAAAATTTTGCGAACTTCGTTAGAATTTTCGACCTTTCCTTCAAAATCTTTTTTTGAAAAAATACAATCTTCTTGATGCGAAATGGAAATAGAAATAAAAAATCATAGCTAATAAATAAATAAATCAGCTGTTTAGTTGTTAATCATCTGTGCAGTTAATTGTTTACAATCTAAATGTTAGTTGTAACATACGGAAATCTTATTCCTCCCTTCCATGTCGCTGAAACCATAGTTTCTCTTAAACATGAAGTTTTAACTTTTTAAGGGCATACCTTATTCTAAAGTTATGAAATAAATATTATTTCACTTAACAAAGATTCAGAATGTTGGATTTTTAATTATTAGCTGTCTTAGAAAACTATTTCATAACTTAATCTTTTTTCCAAAACAATTTATAAAGACATTAAATTTTTGTCTAACAACATCTTACCTGAGAACAGGGGCGCAGTGGAGGTTTGGGTTAAATTATTTTTTTTGTGCACCTCCCTAAAATACCCGTATTAAGAAAAAAAAATTAAAGCTTAAAATCTACCTGACTATTAGTCATCTGACCATAATACCATTATAAAATCTAGTAGTAAAAGAGCAAAAAATATATTTGATGTTTTTGAGTTTATCATATATCATATCGATATCAATCATATATTATGACTAGATTACACAGGTGACAATTATTTATTAAAGCTTAATAAAACTGAGAGACTGAAATGGATTTTAAATGAAACCCCGCAAAAAATATTGTAAATAAGATTAAGGGAAAAGAAAGAATTTGAGAAATTATCATAAAATGGACAAATTGTAACAGTGTCATTTGATAAGAAAAAAATCTGAATATATATGACAGTTTAATATATTATTACAGCCTGGCCCTGGCTCTAGGGTGGGCCTAGGGGGTGCATGTCTATAGGGTGCACAGGGGTAACCCCCCCCCCACTACGCCCATGTTTGAGAACTGCTTAAAGCAATAAAGCTTTCTAACGACACTGCAGCAGTGTGAAATTTAAACGAAAATTGTTCCCTCAGCTCCCAAAACACCCCAAAGTTTTTTTTGGGCAGTGCAGATACTCAGGGTACAGTGGATACTGAGGGTACAGTGGATACTCAGGGTACAGTGGATACTCAGGGTCCGTGGATACCCAGGGTACAGTGCAAATACTCAGGGTACAGTGCAGATACTCAGGGTACAGTGGATACTCAGGGTACAGTGGATACTCAGGGTACAGTGGATACCCAGGGTACAGTGCAGATACTCAGGATACAGTGCAGATACTCAGGGTACAGAGGATACTCAGGGTACAGAGGATACTCAGGGTACAGTGGATACTCAGAGTACAGTGGATACTCAGGGTACAGTGGATACTCTGGGTACAGTGCAGATACTCAGGATACAGTGCAGATACTCAGGGTACAGTGTATACTCAGGGTACAGTGGATACTCAGGGTACAGTGGATACTCAGAGTACAGTGGATACTCAGGGTACAGTGGATACTCTGGGTACAGTGGAGATACTCAGGATACAGTGCAAATACTCAGAGTACAGTGGATACTCAGGGTGCAGTGGATATTCAGGGTACAGTGGATATTCAGGGTACAGTGGATACTTAGGGTACAGTGGATACTTAGGGTACAGTGCAGATACACAGGATACAGTGCAGATACTCAGAGTACAATGGATATTCAGGGTACAGTGGATATTCAGGGTACAGCGGATACTCAGGGTACAGTGGATACTCAGAGTACAGTGGATACTCAGGGTACAGTGGATATTCAGGGTACAGTGGATACTCAGAGTACAGTCTTTTATAATACTGGATACCGTTGTGAATTGGACATTGGCAATTGACATCTTTGCATCTTTGAATTTTTAAGCTTACAAGTTACAGTCCATTTAAATAAATAAATAAATTTTAGTTTAGGCTAATGAAATGTTCAGATTTTCCATTTTGAGATATTCGTTTTTTCTTGTTCGAAAAGTGATTTTAAAAATTTCGTAGATTTTGACAGACCGAGTTGTTGGTTGGATTAAAACCGTATGAGGTTTGAGAAAGAGGAGCAGTGGAGTCATCCGCTGTCTGGTTACATCTCTCTCTCATTCCTAAGTAGGCAGGGCCCCAGAGAGCTGAGCTAAATGGTTCTGTTTTCTTACTTCAACGGTTTTGGTAAAGTACAATAAGATCCAGAACACTGTGGAAACGGAAGTATTACAATTTACATATATCATTTAATGTTACACAAAACCTGACAACCTAAGAAGAATAACAAGAAATATAAAATTGATTATATCGGACTATTAGAACCTGTGCAGGCTTAAGAGGAAATAAGGAATAAGCCCCTAAGTGGCAGACAAGGAAAGACGGACTTCGATTAGAAAGACTTTTATGGATTATGGACAGACAAAATATATAGTTAAATACTGTCAGGAACTACTTACTACTTATAGTGCTGCACAGACCTACGATTAAAGTTGACAAACATGACTAGTTGATGAATTACAAAAACTGCTGTATACTGTAATAAGGGACTTCATTAACAATTTAACATAGTAAATATGACTAATTACATACACTAAGAAATATATGAAAAAGACACTAGAACATAAATTTATGGCGCAAATTTTTAACTAGATTACTCATGTTGTTGATTGGAAAGCAAATATTTTTTTTTTTAAACAAAAGACAAGCCATGGTATTATAAGAATTTGGTATATTATTGAGCACAGAGCCAACCCTTTAACAATTAAAAATGCTGTTTTTATTGGGTCTGATTAATACTGGAGTTTGTGGTTCTCTTCTCTTTAATCTCTATAATTTAGTGAGCTGTTTACCGATAATCTTGGGTCTGATTAATACCAGAGTTTGTGGTTCTCTTCTCTTTAATCTCTACAATTTAGTGGACTGTTTACCGATTATCTTGGGTGTGATTTATACTGGAGTTTGTGGTTCTCTTCTCTTTAATCTCTGTAATTTAGTGAGCTGTTTACCGATAATCTTGGATCTTATTAATACTGGAGTTTGTGGTTCACTTCTCTTTAATCTCTGTAATTTAGTGAGCTGTTTACCGATAATCTTGGATCTTATTAATACTGGAGTTTGTGGTACACTTCTCTTTAATCTCTACAATTTAGTTAGTTGTTTACCGATTATCTTGGGTCTGATTAATACTGTGGTTTGTAGTTCACTTCTCTTTAATCTCTATAATTTAGTGAACTGTTTACCGATTATCTTGGGTCTGATTAATACTGGAGTTTGTGGTTCTCTTCTCTTTAATCTCTATAATTTAGTGAGCTGTTTACCGATTATCTTGGGTGTGATTAATACTGTGGTTTGTGGTTCACTTCTCTTTAATCTCTATAATTTAGTGAGCTGTTTACCGATTATCTTGGATCTTATTAATACTGGAGTTTGTGGTTCACTTCTCTTTAATCTCTGTAATTTAGTGAACTGTTTACCGATTATCTTGGGTGTGATTAATACTGGAGTTTGTAGTTCACTTCTCTTTAATCTCTACAAACGTTCAAGGAAAGCTTATTTTGTATTTAATCAATTATTTAAAAGGGTCAACGCAAAGTAATTAAAAGGTACTGATCGGGCCCAAATTTTTTGTGGGACATCACTTGACCACAGGGAAGGTTTATGAATGATAAAAATTAAAAAAATGTGTTTTAAAGGTTTTTAATTTAAAAAAAAAAATTAAATTCTTAAAAATCCGCAAACTTTTTTAAAATGTGAACTTTTTGAACATGTTCACAATTTAAATAGAAGCGCTCTAAAAGCCTAGTGTTTTAAAATTTGCTTTTATTATTTTATATGATTTTCAGTGTTTGATTAATTTTATATATTTGCCAGAATAATAAATTAACCCCCATTGATATTTTTACCTTAAAATGCACAAAATACACATTGATCTAAAGGTTGCAAGCTCTAACGCATGAATTGATGAGAACTTCGCCAATTACTTCTTTAGTTTTGTTTAAACTGCCTTTACCTGCTAGCTACG